AAATTTTGTTGACTCCTCAAGTCAAAGTGGCTCTTGTTCATATGAGTAACTCACCTTGCAACTTGCTCCAATACAAACATCAAATATGGCGGGATCTTTGCTGCATCTGGTACCATCTAACACTTTTCCATATCCCTTGACAGTGTATCCCAACCGGCAATACAAATCACATGGTCCTAAGGAAGATAGAAAAGGGTACTTTGCGAAATAATTTCTTTAAAAATAATCAAAAATTCATTGTGTTATCAACGTTGTTGGGGCTTGTAGTATAGCTGCTTGGAGGAAACGCTTTTAAATGGGGGTAAATTTTTCAAAAAAAATCTCTTCCTCACAGTGAAAACTTAATAGCAGTTCGTAGGTGTTCAACACGATTGAGAAATAAAAATGCGTAACTGACTGTCCAAAAGTTTTCACGGCGTATTTTTCCACAGATGTCTAAGTTTGTTGAGGATAAAATGACAAAGTTAAGGGGACTTCATAGCTCTGTGTATCACCTCCATGATAATATGCTGATGAGCCCTCCAGTTTCTTCGCGCACTGTTCATCTCGGTATGTATCTGTAACACTTCCAGGACAGTGCTGAAATGAACCTCATTTTGAAATCAATGTGTAACCTCCTCGTTTAAGTAAAAATAGGGGGAGAGACTTCAAAATTTAACTTTGCAAATGTAGTCGTCTGGTCCAGAAGATAACACACCCCAGAAGAATTAAACGATCTTCTTTATCAGTTGCGTGGATTGACAGTTCTGTTGCGAAGCATATTATTTTTAAACTAACGATTGAGTGAAACCATATGAGAAAAACTTAATACAATTCAGGAAAAAAATTCTGTCCAGTTTCTCGTCAGGAGGAAACAAATTTGACGTGATGATGAAGTTGAGATGAAAAATTCTGCTCTTCCTTCCCCTCTATTCATTTTTTTCGGATACGGTTTGCCTAATCTGGCTCGTCTAAACATGTTTCCAAATGATATACTCTCAGATCGAAGAGAACAGTCGATACTTACTAAGATCTCACAGATTCTCCAATGCCCAATTGAATCTCCCTGGCATTCTTTCCCTCCATTTGAAGGCCTTTTCATTCAAGATCAGCAAAAGAGGAAGAAGGAAAAAAGATCGCTTAACTTGTGCTCACGCACGGACACACTTACAAGATTAAAGCCGAACTTATTTGCACTTTATGCATTAGAATTGTCATTTGATCTTATGAGAAACCAGCGGATCTGTGAAATGGACGAGCTCGATGCAAAGTTGCTTTCTAATGCAAAATCTCCACACAGCCAGAGTTGGTGGAGGCAAGGAATCTCGAGGTGAAATGAAATCATCGTTGGGGAAGAGATCTCACGATTTCAAATGCAATCCCTACCTGAATTAATTATTCATTATAATTATTGATGATTCTCTCACTCACGGTGGATTTGTGCATGATCTTGTCCTGTGTTGTACCCCACCACCGCATGTTCTCGTGCATGGAGTAAAGTCCGACCATTCGCTCCACCAGCCATCGACCTGGGGCCGACCGTTGTCAACGCACACTCCTTTGATGCACCACTATAAGAAATTAGATACAAGCACAAATTATGTTCGGTCCCAAGAGAATTATAACTTTGTACGAACAGAAAAGCTGACGAGAAAACTTGAACCCCTCCAGCGAGTTCGACCTTGGATGACCTTGCGAGGTCATCCAAGCGCGTTCATCAACATGATTTGAGCATAAGATGAGGGAAGTGCTCAGCATTGCTTTAGATCAAACTTACACGCCGAACGTTACGGTTACAATGAATCCTACAGAGAACAGTGATAGCACATAGTTCGTCTACAACTTGTTTAAACAGAGAATCTTTGTTCAAAATGGAAAAAAAAATTAAAAAGGCATCATCTCATTTTATGGAAGTCAACTAGTTCTAGCTTAAAGATATCAGGAGTGTTTTGAAGTGACTTCAAAGGAACGCAATGAAACATGTTCTTAAAGCCAGGAGTTTAGCATTGGAAAAGTTCTCTTTGGAGTTTTGCTTATCACTTCTGGCTGGTCTTAGAATAACGGAGTCCTATGGCGAACTGCAGCAGGGTTTGAACATTTGACTAATAATGACATACATTTCTACTTCCACAGGGAGTCCCGTCGAGAGCGGGAGCTGCACGTGTATCACACCAATATCCGTTCGGAGTACACCACAGTTTACCACACTCTGCCTGCAAAATGAGCAAGCATCGCAAGCGACATTAGACACCTTTACAAAATGTTAAAGCAGCGCCTTTTTACAAAGGTTTTATTCAGTTATCTGGAAACTATTTAAAATTCAGCCAATCTGACTACATAATTTTATAAGCTGTTTATATTTTTCCATATCTTTCTTGAATAAATTTAGTAATCAGAAAGTGTATTTCCGAACAACTTCCTTTTTTCGCTCGCAATAAAAACCGATTAATTATAAACGGATTCATAAGAAATAGATGAATGAAATAATAGTTTACAAATATATACACAACTAAATGCATATTGTTTTCTTCGACATGATATTTTTAGGAACATAAATGTTATTTTTTACATTGCTTTCAATTGGTAATTAAAAAAGAAAAAAATATCAAAATGAAGACAAACACTGATTAGACATTTGAATCAAAGGTTGGTTTTTTTAGATGGGAATCTCTTACCGCAAATCGAGAACATTGTCGAAAACCAAGTCCATACTGTAAGACGCACTGATCATCGCCATTCATGATTTCACCAGGAAGTTTTAATACAAAATTATTCGCGTAAAGCTCGCTAGGATCAATTGTCTCTTTTATATCGCGTGCTACCCTGATACTGACTTCTCGTTTGTCGGGATCACCTTCATCAATCTTTTCATACACCACAGTCCTTTCGCCGTCCTCAGCCTCTTCGTTCAAACAATTTGACTTGCTACTTCTGCAAAACACATTTCATGGACAAAGTTAAAAGTCAAATAAATTTGCAAAAGCTTTCTGAATCGCTATAAAACGTGATTCTCCACACAACAAAAACGAGGTCATCCAAACGTGTCCATCAACGAGATTTGAGCGTAAGATGAAAGTAACGAAGGCTATTTTTAGTTATGATTTACGTGACTTTCAACACCCTTTTGTTTTGTGTGACATTCTTTCGAATTGTCAGCATTATGTCTCATTCCGTCAGGTCACGAGACACGTGTTAGTCGCAAGCATAGCCAGATCGAAGGATTGTCGAAATACTAGAATAATAGAACGGGGAAAGAGGTATGTCATCTTGTTTATTTTTGTATTTATATACCGAAACGTGTATAATCAAAGGTAGTTTTGTTTCGTTTAGGATATTTGTGTTGTTTGATTTATCTATATACACGCCCCGCGTGTTCGAGTTTAGGACATTCGATTAGCGTATATTGTATGGTAATGGCCTATTTTAGTTTATTATATTTCAGTTTTTATGAGCTTTCGAGTTTGATAAACCAACTGAGATTTGATAGACGCTGGGAGGTTCCGTTAATATAAAACATTTCTCTGACGCGGCGTTGTTCAAGTTTGATTCGATGTATATCAGCGTCCGCCCCGTTACAATGAGGGAATTATATTGCCCACGTTGAGCTGAGATCTGATAGAAATATTTGAAGTGACTTCGAGCAAACAGCAGTTTCGATAAATAACTGGTGTATTTTAAGTTCCGCTCAATTTCCGTTATTTTTAGCGTAGTTAAGATAATGATAGACCTCGTTTAACTCTACAGTATCTTAGCAGATATTCTTTTTACCATTGTCGTCACATTAAACGCTAGTTCATTAAAACCATCTGTTGTGCATTATTAAACAATGTCAACCTATGAGTACCCAAGGATTTCCAGTTTGGAAATCACCCCACAAGTTGGGTTAATATCTACCTGAGAAGTTCTTGAATGACTCTCATACTGCAGTTGGACCATGTCTCAGCTTTGGAGCCTCCAGGGAGCACCGCGGACATGATGTATGTGTTAGAAGGACACTCGTCTGTTTCATCATGATCCACCCCCATGCTAGAGACAACAATATTTATTCACCGACTTTCATTTTATTCTTGACTGGTGTTAGTCAAAAGTAGACTAACATAAAAGAACGAAATTAAAGAAGGCCTTTTTTGGGGAGTTGGTCTCTGAAGTTATGCTCTCTCCCCAAACACAGGACATGATGATCATTGGTGCTACACTTATCTGACGATAGAGCTCGATTGAAATATCTTGAAATATATTGCTAGCAGAATACAAACTTAGAAGACAGACAAAATTTGGTTCACTTCAGGAAGCTTGCTTTCGAGTTTACGAAATTTAAAGAAAACTAAAAATTTTTTAAGCTGTTTAAGAAAAGGTCGTTATTAACAGCGTAAAAACCCACTTCAAATGCTGGAGGAACACTCGGAAAACTTGTAAACCCCTCGCTTTCGGCTCGTAACTGACAAACTTCCATGAATACATTACGCAAAGACAATCAGCTTTTGTTTGTTACGCGAGGTTCTCAAAAGGGTGATAGCCCTTACGGCTAACGCTTAACATTTTGGCAATTTTCCGGTTCATTTATTTCCGATGCGATTAATTTTTAAATTAAAAAGCTAAAAAAAATCGGGTTAGTTATTTTATGACTTAAGGTTAAAATTTGTCAAAACTACAGTTAAATTATTTTTCCGTTTTACGGCTAATGGTTTACCCCAGTAAGACCCTCTAAAACTAAACTAAACTAAATTCGACAGTTCTACAGTTTTCTGTTCTTGATAATTTGAAAAAGAGACATGGCTCTGTCAGGGAACAGTGGTATTTAGGTGAGTATGTCCTTCGGTTACTTAAACTGCATTGAAAATAAGCCTTACTTGTGACCAGTTTCATGAGTCACTATCAGAGCTGTTTGTAAGCCCACCATGTTGTTTACGTTTTCTGTCGCTCTGCCGTTACATATGGTCTTGAACGGAGCCAATCCTGGTTTATTAAGAACAAGTACAAACCAAACTGTGTTAATGGACGCGCTAACAGAGATAGTCCACCCACGTTAAGGTGAGCAGCAGGGTTTGCGAAGCGAAATTTAAAATGGCAAACACCAAGGTCGAATTTTAAGACAACTTTCAAACGGTGCTGTCACTCTTTGGAATCTCAAAATACGGTCAGTGGTAAAGTTTTTATATTTACTCTCCTATGTGGCTGGTAATTCGTATGATTTTTTGGAGCAAACGCCTCCTCCACGCGAGCTGTATCCCTACACAAATGGAGATCATATCGATCGATCAAGTGCTTATAAGAACAGGGTAATTAAGTATTATCAAATGAGTTGATAACATAAACTGGCCACCGTAAAGAGTTTCAAAGCTGACGTTTCGAGCGTCGGCGAGTCCTATGTTTCACTCTGACGAAAGGCTAACGCTCGAAACGTCAGCTTTGAAACTCTTTACGGTGGCCAGTTTGCGTTATCAACTCAGGTGATAATACTAGGTTACCCTGCTATACTCTCCCAACGACGCAGCTCCACAGTTTCTTTAGAAAGTTATCTCCTTTATAAATTTGGATTATGATCAAAATTGGGTAAAATCGATCTCTTAATGAGCCCAGCAAGCCGATCGGTGAGGATTTACGTGTACATTACCAGGAATATCGAAATATAACCTATATATGTAACTTATAAGAGTTGCATTGTACTTACCACCAAGTCCTGATTCCATGCTGAATAATAAAGAAGTATAAGTGATAAGTATTATTTTTAGCATCTTTGTTATTACACTATTACGTCATCTTACCATATTAGGGCGTGAAAACACGTAAAATATGTGATAATAGCCTAATGTGGAAAAGACAAAAATACGGACGGAAAGTAGAGTAACAAAATGTCTGCAGTAAACAATTCAGACTTGGATTTTTTGCCGTTTGTTTAGCTTATTGTTTTCAGCATCGAACTTCAAGCGCAAGCAAGCATGAATTGATTTAAGCATAAATGAATTAAGCGACTCACTAACTTGCTGATGGACAGACAGAGAGAGTTTTTAAGATGTGCACCTTGCTTTGTACACCGTTTACTTTGCTTTACCTGTACACAAGGGAAAACACATCTTCCCTGCCAGTCTGGTGGGATTTTATATATTTAGCAAACTTCGACAGCCATTGAGTTTTAGATTCTGAGAACTCCGCACCGAACACCTGAAGAAGACAGAGATGTAACATTTAAACGGCACCGAATGCAATTTTAGAGCTGATTTTTTTATTTCTTGATAATTCATGCGAGTCTAGAGTATGGTTTCAGTTTCCAAAGTTCGCTTTGTTAATGAAACGAGTTGTTCTTTGGTCACATACTTTCACTCATTTGTTGGTCTTTTTCTGGTTGTTAGTAAAATTTCTTTAATTCAAAGTCTGCTATTTTGGTTTACCTTCTTGTCGATAACGATGATTCGCGTAACTTTGTAATAAATACGGATCTCTCCAATGCTCGGGTCCATGAAGAGTCCTGAAATCTTGAAAAGAGAAACCCGAATGAAATTCGCAGAATCTTTTCAAAAAGCGTATGGACCTGTCAATGCATTCTTTCCTCACTCAACATTTTCATTCACATCCACTTCTTGTTGCATTATATTGACGAGAGAATGCTTCACATTTTAATATTTACAGCAAAAGGTTAATTATTGTCAAATTTTATTTCAAGAGTTAAGCAGGCTCGACGGAAGTCAATGTCTTTCTTTCTCCTAGATAATGGGTGGGTAAAGAAATAAAAATTCTGGTTTCAACCAGTAAATAACAAGTTCAAAATTCAAACAGAAGGAAAGTATAGAATGTAAATTAAAACTAGGAATTTATTTGTCGAGGGTGCGGAACAAAGACACTTCTGTGAGTTCCCAATGATGATTCAAGTACGAGTCACTCCTTACAATGTTTGTATGTGGTAGCAAGCGATTTTCACAACTTCAAGATATGTAGGAGGTGTTTATCAAATCAAAGTTTACAAAAAGATGTTAAATCTAGAACTTACTGTATTTCCTAATAAAAGGAGAAACTCCTTTGGGTCGTGCTTTTCAGTCTCCAATGTTGCCGCCGAAGCCGCCTCGAGCATTAAAGCAGCCTCCATAGTTTTTATCGTCAAATTTCCTTTATCTTGTACCTCCAGGCTGTCCGGTATCTTCCTTCGTGGTTTAAACACTGTAAAGGTAGATGAAGTCAAATATGGAAACTTGTTTCGTTAACATTGCTTAACTTCTCTTTCAGCTTTTTTCCTAAGAAGTGGTTGTCTAACTTGATTTCGTTGTTGAAAAACCTTTAACTTCTCAAAACTTTAACATTAACATACCTAACCACTCAAAGCTACACAGGTTACCACTTGAAGAAAGGCAGTTTTTTTGCAGATTTTCAAAAAGGGAGCTGTGGCCTGTTTCTATGAATTTAAGTTAACTACTGGTCCCGGCTGATTTTCTTGTTTACATTTATGATCGAGCTGTTGATGGCCTTGACAGTATAACAGTAAAGATACCAGGAAATGAGAGTCTTTGCTGGCCTTGGAGATAAAACTGGCACTATCATTACTTGAATTAATATTTTGTTTTAAAAAATAGGTTATCGTCTCTTGGATTCTTACAAAGTGTAAAGGAATGTTAATAGATACCATACAGTGTAATACCTTTCCTCATATCATGCGGATCAAATTCAACTGGAAGAGACCTCTTGTAAATCAAATGAGGTGTCTTAACTTCACTCGACGCAGCCCGCTTTGCAAGATGGGTCGGTAACGGGTGAATGAATAAGGTATCGCTGGCTAGTTTCAGCATACCAGTCTAAAATAAGAATGGAATGGAAATTAGAACAAACGGTCTAAACGCAGCCCAACAAAGACACATAAAACATGGCATTTTCTGTCAATAAGTAGCCCAACTGAGTTGACCAATTTCACTTTTCCTCTAGGTTCCATTATATATCAGATAAATGTCTTCTGATATTATCGTCATATTCCCTGTGTAACTGCATAATCATCAAATGAATTTTTTTTAAAAACAAGTTTCATTTATGCGTATCGTATAAAGATCTAACTATAGAAATGGCTCGTTGTTTCTGCTAGGGTTCAACTGATTAAGTTACTAAGCTCCATTTGCACATGGATAATATTTGAAATCCTACCCGTTAAACTTTTTCTTTCTATTTTGTCGCCAGCTATCGAGCTTATCTAGTACACTTCTGTTTCGAAAACTGAGACAAACATTTTACATTAATTTACCAGCCCTCCGTTGTCACTAACAGCCACCATTGAATCGGGATCGGACATCACGTTACCAAGGTAGTAATTGTTTGGGGGTGGGGGAGAGTATGATATCGTGCCATCAGCGTATATCGTCTCCGCAACGAGGTCAGGAGACATCAGCTTTTTGTTCAATGTTAAGTTCAAGTGCAATTCCCGCCCAAATGCCTTGACTTTGTAAAATATGTTTTCACGTGATTCCTCTGCCCGCCGTTGACGCCGTTTGAAATTTTCGTTGAGTTGATAAGGGGTGGTTACATCGTACTCGGGAACTACAGCGAAAGAGAAATATAATAGGTAGCTTCAGTTGAACAGTTACAAGTGTAAAACCACCTTTTCCCTGCTCTTAAAAAGTGGACAGTTATGGAAACTTTGAATAACATATAAAAGATGCCATTACCAATAGTAACCAATCAACGGAAGCAGTAGGATATGGTCTTCAGTTTTATGGATGTTTATCAAATACCTAAATACTACGAACGCCCTGATTAGTCAGAAAACCTATCCTTCCCTTGTGCCGTTAAACCTCATAAAAATTGAGGTTCATTTGATAAAAGCAATAGACCACACTTTCTATTGGATGACTGGCCTAATAACCCCCTCAACTAGATGAACTCTAGAAAAGTTGATAAATTCTACGCCTCCAGCTTGAGAAATTTTCTCAAGTTCGTCCATCATCCCACTTAGGTTATTGGTAAATGATGAAAATGTTTTCTATTGCTTAAGTTACCTTCTGAATGATTATCAACACCGAAAAAGTACTTCAGATCATTTTCTGTCATATGATGGTGAAGCGTCTGCGGTGAGAACAGTTATTAAAAAATAAAAATAACATATGAACAAAACTATCACAAAAACATGGGTATATAGATATCATCCGTCTGACACCTTCAACATGCGAATGAGATCAACTATAAAACTAATGATTCATCGACTTACATTTCGGTGCGTCGTTCGTGCAAAAGCTGTTGATCGAAAAGAAATCAAATTGACCATTTACATTAATACTTTGTAACGGAAAAAGTGAGATCTGTGATCATTAGAGCCTCAACAGTGTCTTACCTCCGGAGAGAAACACAATCATAAGAACTGGAAACGCCAACAGCGGATGATACCAGCCCATCCTAAAACAATAGCAGCGGCGATAATAAGACGAGTAGATTGTTTAACTTAAAATGAGCATCCCTTGGATTAAAAAGAATGAGGCTAAGAAGGCAAACAAGACATAAAAGTGAACACCACTCTAGAGGATTAATTAAAAGAGGGATTGTGCATCAAAGTAGATTATTATTAGAAGATATTACTTTTTGATAAGGATAATCCATGGCCCTCTCTGGTTATGCCCGAAAGGAAACTGCTAGACTACCAGTGAGTGGAACAAAAACCAACAGGGATTTTCAGACCGACAAGTCGGCCCCTCCCCACAAACTGACTGCTTGGAAAAAGCGAAATAGCGTAGATTTTCGCTACTCCTCACAAACAAGCTATTGAAATCAAGAGTTCAGAAGAATTTCGAGAGTATGGCGTGCCAAAATAACCATTTGTGAGTGTCCTGCCATTTCAAAAAAAGCTGAAGCAACAAGCCATACTCACCTTTAACGGCTAAAATCCCTTAATAGTTTGATTCCTCAAGGTGTCTTCTTACGACGCATTTGCAGCTCTTGCGTTTGATGACTATCAAATATACACTTTTTATTTACACTCTCAAAATGGGTCTATTACTGATAAATTTCCAAAAAAATCACGATATAATTACTATAACAATGGAAACAATTGCATAAGAAACAATGGAACGACCAGAGGTAACATAAAAGCTAGGAAGTTAAGAGATCTCTAAACAAAACAAAGAAGATCTATTGATAAAAAATATACAGTTACATCCCAAATACGGTTATTGGTTTATCTTGAAACGCTAAGTGGTATATTATTTACTATTAAGTTATCATTAAAGAAACTCTACTTGCTAAAAATGAACTACAGAATTGCAAAAAAAAAAAACGCTTAAGAGACGATTTCTTCTATTATGTTATAGTTTAAAGTTTGGTAAGTATAACCTTAAATCATACTGAAACTGAAGTTATTCATAGTAATCGCTCCTGTCAATTCGGAGAATGATGTCTAATTAAGCTACAGATCACCTAATTACAGCTGAATGCTTTCTAATGATGAATAATGTTTTATTGAAGCGGATATTGTGTTATAACAGGACAGATACCTGATATGGGAAAATATTGCCTAGTTACGGATAATGTGTTCAGTAAAGTGAAATACTGATCAGCACGATATGTCTAGACTGTTACCTGAATGAAAAAAAAGTATTTTCATAGTCTCATTGAATGAAAGAAATATAGGAATTCCGACTGTTTTTACAAGATCTTATCAGTTCTTGGCGAAGGCGAGATACCACAATCTGTATTAGCCATTCACGATCGTAGTTGTCATGGATACTGTGTCGGCTTATTGTCAGCAAGTAATTAATAAAAAGCAGGTTTTACTTAACAACTTTCTTAATATTGATTTGAACTTTTTTTTTATTTGAAAAAAAAAAGACTTTTGCATCTTGGAAGATGCCCTAATATCTCATGGATTTCGATAAAACTTTGGCATTGAAAGAAATAAGTGCTTCGAAATAAATTTTGAAATGAAGTTGATTGATTTGAATTCATGATCTGTCATAAAATTATACGTCACGATCGCTTGGGGATGAGTATTCCAACATCTCTTGCATAGACTGAAAGATGGCGTTTTAGTGCTCCGCGTACTTAAAAGAAGAAATAAAATTTTTGTGCGCCCTAATTTTTCATAGCCTCATTTTTGTGATAGATTATCTCAGACAAAAAAATTACAAAAAATGCAACAATTTGCATTAAAACTTCTCTTGAAATCTTTAATGAAAAGACTTCCAATATAGCACCAGTATGAGAAAATATTAATTACCACAGAACTTTTTATAATAACGTACTCTTAGAGGAATATATGACATGTGTGAAACGTTTTCCACTTAAAAAGTCATCTACAGGGGAAAGTATTGCCCCTGTAAGAATATGCTATGTGTTTTGGGTGATTCTGAGAGAAAACAGTTTTGAATCGGAATAACTTTTTTGCGAAAAATTGGCCCTTTGTTGGTTCATTAGGCTATTGATGTCCTAGCGCTTGCCGAAAGATCTGGCCGCGCAGGATATTCGCTAAATGAAGGGAGGGAGGGATTTTCACAGCCGTATTCTACCTTGAGCCATATTGATGAAATATGTCTGCCAAATACCAAAACGAAATCAGTAGCTTAAACCATCTCTCAGCTAAGGAAAGTGAAATTTGTATTATTTGCACAGATTCCGACAATGATATATTTAGAGAATCCTATTAAAGCTATCGCACCTTTTACCAATAACTTCTTATCTGATCCGATAAAACCAAAAACGGTCCAACAATTTCTTACCTTAAGTGTGCTTCATCTTACCTATCAGGCAAGCGAGACGTTTGAAAGGATTCTGTTACCGCAAAAAACAGGTAGCAATATGTTTACTTTATTTTGACTTAAACGGCAAACACTGAAGGATGAAAATAATTGCATTTAAGAATATTTGTCTAAAGAAAGTAGGATTTACTGTTTAGTTTGTGTGTAGCTTGAAGAAATAAAGCTGTGTCAGTAAGACCATGATCTAAAACAAACACGGGCCCAATATTGCAAGCCCAGAGGCAAACAATAAATTCTCATTTGTAAATTTTACAGATCACTGTAGAAGTCGGTGGGCTAACGCGGCGAGATGCTATCATAGATGAGTCGGTCGGCCATATCAATAGAAACGAAATTTCTAATAAACTTGTCTGCTCCAAATGCCATAAATTTCTCACATTCAAGGCTGACACACTGCTGTATGCCTGTAATGAACTTTACTCCTCCCTACTGATAAGTATTGTCACTCAAACTGCTGATCAAGTAAATATGTCGGGTTGAAATTAAACGCATTATCATGTCTGCAAAGAAAACAGTTGGAAAATAGCATTTGAAAGCTTGAGAAAGGCTAACTTTGTGATCACCGACCTCATGGCTTTGTAGTCAAATTGAATTTTTTTTGATCATCGACCCATGGCGTCGTATTAAAATTGAAATTTTTTTCCCAAAAACTATTTACTTAGTGAAGTCTACATTGTAAGTGGACTGTTTTCTTACCGATAAGATGTGTGTGATATTTGTCTGTCTATCTATCATTCGATGCATTTTGTATTCAAAAAAAATAGTCAAGGCCAAGTTTAACAACTAAATTGCTCATATAAACCGATAAAATAAAAAAGTCTTTTTTTTCGGCTAAAATAAATGTGTATTTCGTTTGTTAAAGGTTGGAGGAAAGGGCAAAATCAGGAGGTAAAAAAACCCTCTGTAACAGGAAGGAGTTGTTGGGAAAAGAAAAACTTGAACAAAACATTGGATCGGAAATAACAGTCATCAGACAGGAAAATAAAATGTTCTTACATAAAAAAAAAACTCTTCCAACATTATAATAGCATGTTTATCGTGTTGCGAACTAAAATTAACCTCTTCGGCAGACGAACCTCCCGAGGAGAACTGAATAGGTGATAACGAGGAGACGAGTCAGAAAACCCTTATTTGCTTATTCAAACAAGAATATATTGCTAAGTCAAGATAAACATCATCTGCCCAAACAATACACATAATGAAGGATACAAACACCAATGCATGTTTATATCGACAAAGGAATGAATGGGATAATTTTCTAAAGAAACTGTGTTACCATTGCAGGATTATTTGGCACTACCAACTGAATTGATAAGGCAAGGACGAAGGGCTAACGCTCGAAACTTCAGCGCAAAAAAACTCCTTATAGTGACTAACTTACATCATCAACTGAAAATAAACTATCATGTTTATATCAATCGAGGGTAAAATTTCCGCACAGCCCCATACTACATTATGCCTTCAGTTCTTGGATAGAGAAAACAATGACAAAAACAATACATTGCCATCGGGAAAACAGATTTGTTTTACAATAGTATGGGGCTGTGCGGTAAGTATACCCGATCGAGTCTGTGACAGCGAGAGAATTAGACGTTTAAAATTACTACTTTTGTTTTATTCCTTAACTTCATTTCCTTGCCAGTCCGAAAATTTAGTATTCGCTGGTTCAAAAGTGACAAACAAAGGAACAAATGGAGGGGACACTGCCATGTTCGTAAATCTGCAAACCTAACAATGAGGATCGTACAAGTTCGCTTATAAATCCAATTTGAATTTTTATTTTGGCCACAAGAGCTTGTGTTAATTTAATTACAACTTAGGCTAAGACTCGATCGTTCATAAAATATAGAACATATAAGCAGAGAACTAAGTTGTTCAAGAATGGGAGAGAAAACCTCTACATTTTAGTCACAGTATTTTTATTATCTGACGGTCATTATTCCCTTAAATACATGATTATTAACAAGTTAGCCTGCGAAGCATGCGCTGAAGCATTGATTAGCGAAATTTGTCAGAGGCAGACTTAAGAGTACCAACTTCATCAAAATATCTCGGTCGAACGCGTCTCATGGGTGTGGAAATAAATTTCCGACCTTAAAACCCCACTCGCCAGATATTCTGAAAAGCTGTCCCGGAAAATTCACTGTTCCCTTGAAAAGAAATCCATCGGAAAACTGGTTGCTTCAGGAGAACAGTTTCTCGAGTGTCGGAAATGGTAGTGACAGCGTGGAGTAAGTGACTCCTCTTCGAACATCTTCTACTTGATATTACTACGTCGCCTGCTCCGCAGGTTAAAATAGAAAGATGCTGCATCATTCCAAAAGGCGATAACGTTGAAAGATTCCTAGCAGTTAGACCTGAAATACACCAGAACGAACCACAAACGATATAAAAAAAAATTAATTTAAAAAATCTATTATAATTAAATTTTAACTTATAAGTGGTAAGTAGGTGACAGGGGGGCCTGACGGTAAATGCACTAGACTTCTGGTAGAGAGGTTTTGGCCGGCTTATTGTGTTTTGATCTTCGGTATAACAATTCCACAGCGTCTCTTTCTGCACAGGAGTATAAATGGATAATGGCGATTGTCAGGGAAGCTTGATGAGATGGTGGGGAGTAAGCTCGCGATGGACTGGCATAACAGAAGGGCAAAGCTGGGGGAGGGACTTGAGAGGGTCCTAGGGTGTCCGTGGTCCCTCCTTTATAGGCCTTTCTTAAGTATAACACGGCATGGAGTTCGACGTGATAATCTAGTGAGTACCCTCTGTTTGACTGAAGTGTGATCCCCCATCGAAAAATCCTGGCTACACCTCTGTGTAACCACTTCCGTTAAAGCTAAATGTTACCGCTTCCAAGAGAAGCTGCTAAATATTTTCTGGTTAGATCGACGTCTCCGTGATTAGTTATTTTTGGACAGAAAATTACGGTTAGCGTTTCAGTTCAGGATACGACTCCGTGTAATCAAGATCATTTTTTTGAATAGAAGACAAGCTAGACCGCAATCCTCGATAAAGTAATCAAGACCCGCGAACGTTGTTGATCGCTCCGATACAAGGAAAAGGAAATAAAGGAAAAGGAATAAAAAGAGAAAAGATCCTGTATTGGTTTGATGTTTGAACCATTTACCTTTACCATCCAGGGGGTAGTAGTAATACTTCTAGGATATAAGCTCCGGCTCAATGGGCCACATGGCCCCTGTACAGACTTACCTACCACATGAGTCGTAGCCAATGGAAACTAATTCGACTAGGATAGAGTTAATTATAATTCTTTAACCAGTTAAAGCTTGTAGGAAATCAAAGCAAAAGCCATCTAGGATCCTTTTTTTAACCCATAATTTAAAAAAGTATACTCATTACCAGGGAAAGTGTTTTATACCGTTATTTCTCACCTTAGTAAAACTCATATGCATAAAAAGCGTGCTCTTTTCCGACGTTGTTCCAACATTCACTGGAAGCTCCGTACTTATCATAAGAATGCTCTGCCTCTCTACCTGTCCAACATTCTCCGTAGAACTCAAGGGCAAACATTTTGTTGTCAGGGAAATTATCGAAGACAAATTTTGCACATTTCTGAATGGTGTCGTCAATGTTGGACCAGTCGATTCCTTCATTTCGGAAATTTTTGGCAAGTTCTGGCCAAGCAGGTGGGTCTCCATCGTTAAAACAGCCTAGCCCTCTGTATCTAAGCAACGGCTGTGGGGCTAGGATTAATGGGAAGATAACAAATAAGATTCGGGTGCATGATGAGAAGCCGATAAAAAGCAGCAACGGTGATGAACCAGTTTTATCATACAAACTACAGTGTTATATAAGGATTCCAGCCCTGAGGAAAGCCGTAACAACACATGTGAAAAAAATACGATATTTTTTCACGTGTTTTTAATATCGCCAATCAGCTGCTGACACGTCACTCGCCTTCACACCACTTGGTCAGGTCGATGAATGAACGGCAAAGCCTTCACCGTTCTCATTCCAAGGTCGTTTGCCGGAATTTTCTCAGATTATGGTTGCTAAAACCCTGAAAAACCCGTATAGCTTACAGATAGTGACGTTCAAGTTATGTATTCAGTGGCTTTGGTAGTGGCATTTCACGCAGCTGAGAGCGAAAATCGACCACTGGAAGATTTGCCACGTGCCGATTTCTTTTGTCGGTGAGGAAAAAACTACGCCCATTGTTGTTTTTGTAATGATTCAACGCATTTTTACATCTTGAGCCTTAGCACCAACGCTCTTTACGATTTTTATTCGGGGATTGTCGATACTTTTACTTTCATTCATTATGAAAGTGGATTTTTCTTGTCAGTAAAGGGCTATTTTGTTTATATGATAAACAAAATAATACATGCTCGCTTGTAGATATGAAATTTCTCTTCTCGTGTTCAACTCGACATCTCACTCGTTCGCTGTGCTCACTCGTGAGCTATCGTATGTAACAGTCGAAGAGAAATTCCATATCTACGCGCCCCCATGTGTTATTCTCTATTTAAAGAACCGAATTTACGGTATAGGGCTCTCATTACTACTGAACTTTAAATGGATAAAGGTGGATAATTTCTGAAAAAAATTATGGCGCTGTGTCGGTGGGAGTTATTAAAAGATGATTTGGTTTTAACAACTGAGTTGATAATGCAAATTGGCCACCGCTGAGAGTTTAGCTCAAGAAACTCTTGGTAATCAACAAGTTTCAAAACTACTGCGTCTTAGCAAGCATAGAGCATTTCTGCCATGTTAAAGTAAGGACCCATGCGGTGTTTTACTAGCCAGTGATTGGTTGATACCCCGCCTGAGAGCCATGGTCTGAGCTTACTTTATGCAGAATAAAAGTTATTTATAAAGCAAACTAAATATCTTACTTGGACAGGGCACATTTGTATTGCAGTCCTTAGTGGTAGGGCTCGGTCTAGGGGCATGGTGACAAAGAATCTCAGGTACTTTGACCAGTTCTCCTCGATCATTGCGTCTCTTGCAAACGAGGCTCCTTTTCTTTGTACCTCCTCGGCATGTTGAAGAGCACTGGCAAAACAAAAACAAAACTGTCTGAAACTAAATTGAGATCAATAAATAAAGGGTTTATAACTTCCTGATATAAAAAAAAATAGATTAAATCTGCACACGGTAAAATTGGCACACAGCACTGATCATGAAGTGGCTAAAAACTATTGCCTATCTACAAGGGCGGAAACCTGCAGCAGGTTCGATAGGTAATTCGACCACGCTTTCCCCCCCTCCCATAGTTCGTCAGGTTTGCTTATGCTCATGGTAGAGGAAGCACTATGAAAGTCACGGGTCATCAAGCTCGATAAAGACTGGAATCCACAATTTTAAATCTTAACCCAACACGCTAACATATACTAGGCTTTTGCTTCTCCTGGATATAATTTTTACTGAAAATTTACGATCAAAATTCGCAAAAAATACAGACATAATCGCTTCAACATCTCTACGATGTAATCTACATTCATCACTAAATTATGTTACCTGAGACCAGGCGGTAGTTTTCCACTCGGCCTGACAAATGATCTCGTTACAGCTCCTTTGTGTTCCGCCAGAAGGTTTAGCGCCTCTGCAAGAAGAGTCTGAGAGGATCTCAAATTTCCACTGCGTCAGCTTCCGGCGGCAATGCACTTTTCTTTTTTGGACCCCTTTACCGCATGTTCTGGAACAAGAGCTCCATTCTGAACTGTACCAACTGCCATAAAATTACCAAAACATTTTTTAAAAAAGCTTTCTTGAAGTGACGTCAATAGTAACCTAAATGCCTTTTCTCTGTTCTGAATGCAAAATAAGAGATAATTGAAATAATCTTGAGAAATGCCAAACTGTGTCGACCAAAACCAGAATTTTTTTTCTTAGAATGTGACAAATAGGACTTTTTGTACGTATAGTGCTTTCAAAGTATAGCATATCTCAAACACTTAGTGAAATATATGCGAACTTATGAACAATGAAAATGAATGAAAAATTGCTTTTAGCTTACTGAGGGTCGCATGGATGTGTATTGCAATACTGTTCTTCTACAGGCTTCTTAGACTTCTTCAAGCAAACCTTATCCTCAACGTACGACCCATCATCTTTTCTTGTACAAAGAACTCTTCGGCTCTGTTTTCCTAAAAGAAAGTTGTAGAAGTAGATTCATGAGGCTTTTGTTCTTTGAAAGTTTTATTTACGAGAAGAAAGTGTAATTTTGATAAAATTAACTTGGAAAAGATAGGTTCTTGTAATTTTTTGATCAAATCTCCTATATTTCTTGAAATTCGTTCTTTCTTTCTTTCAATCGTGACTTGGCCGCTGGCTTTTTCCGCAGCTTAGGCCGTTTGCTAATTTTTCATTCTGGCCTCTTAGTATTTTCCTTTTGTTGGACTGGCCGTTCCGATTACTTGGTTTTGGTTTAAAGAGACTCAGTTATAAAGACCACCACTCATTTTTAAACAGAACTTCCTTATTCAGCTGTTTTTCACACCTTTAGCGCACTTCCAAGAACACTCGCCCCAGTCTGTCACATTCCACTCAACATCGTCAGCTCCGATATTAGATGAAATAGTTGGGTCATACAGCTCGTACCACACACCTGTGTGTGAGTAACCTGCAGAAACAAACTAAAAGAGAAATTCTTTATACGAAAATTATTTTCTTATTTGTTATATCAAATAAAAATTCTGAGTCAGTACTTGAATCCCCTGAATTATTTAGTCATAAAAAATGAAGAAATGAATGTAAATAAATCTTCTCTTGAAAAAAAGTTGCGAAGTAGAAGTTGAATGATAAATAAAATGAATGTGTTTCGGAGTGACAGCGGTGAAATCAAACGTGCAGGCTAAACTAAAAAAGACTGATTATGTGCTGCTAAATCCACCATATTTAAATCTAAACAAAAATTCACAAGCTTTTAAGATCAATTTTATTAGGCACAGAGAACCGAGATGAGGCTCGCAATTTCCATAACTGTTTTTCTTTTTTAGACGATATCTGGAAAGAGAATTTGTTCAATTTCCAAACTTTTCAGTGTTTCCCAAGTTTGCTGTCAGACACTAACTGCCTCATGCACATACCACAACGGTAAGGTCCTCTGTTGTGGGTCCTGGAATGGTAATCGTGTTGATATCGTAATCTTTTTCGTGGTAATAGTGAATCTTAGTTCCAGCTGCATACACTGTTCGACTCCAAGTGGGCACTGGGATTGCATATTTACCTTCTTTATTCTTTATACCTTTTAGGATATTTTAAAACATATTCCACAAGTAAGGAGTGAGTAAAAGTTTTAGATGCTTTGTGAGTTACCATCTAACGTTTAGAAGACTATTTCCAAAATTAAAAATTAATTCATTGAGCCCCAGCCAAGATATGCACTGTTTGTGATCAGAATTGTTACTGATGTCCCGAAACATTTTGATAAGCCTGTCTGAGATTAAAAAATTTCTCTTAACTAATTTAAAGTGGCTTGCTTTCTTAAAGGGCTGCGATGAAAATGTTATCAATTTGAAGGTTCTTTCCATTAATTGCCTGAAAAATAGAAATTTAAAACATGAAAAAAAAAAAACAAAAAAAAAAACAGAAAGGCCAATAAAAGAAGGAGAAACATTGCTAGGGGACCAAAGCGAACTAAAATAAGAACCGAGCAAACAGCTCAAAGGGCGGGCAATTCATTGGTTAAAGGGTGACTCAGGGCAAATTAAATCGTAACCAAAGCGAATCCATTTTACATTAACGTGGCTTGTTACTTAAATTTTTTCTTTCAATCTAAATTATACCTACCAAGCAGGTTCTTATCTGCTGAGTCTTGCTCCACAAAGATTGACGTAGAACCAATAGGAACCTCAAAAATTGTGCATGCTTTTCCTGGTCCTCAACGTTCATAAAGAAACATACAATTAAATTTGATTTTGCATAACCTTAAAATGGTTCAATGTTACAAATATTCGAAACATCTGCGGTAAATTCAGCCGGGGCACATTTACGACCGATATACTCGGTAGATATTACTATAGATATTACTATAGATATTATTAGAGATACTCGGTATGTCTTCTACGACCTGAGCAAGAAACTTAATCATGGACGTAATTCTCAACACAAAAATCTTTAGCGATCATCCTCACACGTTTCCTTCTGAAATAATTCTAATTAACTAACTACTCTCGAACTATGTTGCTGATTCTTACCCCTATGCTGCCTTTTTAAAGTTCCTAAGATATCTTTGGAATATTTAGTGAAGTATATAAGGGAAAAAAATTAGAATTTGCACTCCTTGAAACTGGGAATGCTCTTGCATTTTAATGGAAATATCACGAACAAACTTCTTAGCATTGTTCTCTTGCACTGAATTGTGACGATTGAAATATTTCAGGCTCTAAGATATCAGTTTCAGGCGCAACAAAAAACGGTTAATGTTGTCACTTAACATACCAAATCCTGGACATTTTTCTTCCCACTTTTTTCGAACAAATTTGCATGTTGAACTATCTCCTCCACAAACACCACAGCGATCTCGTCTTATCTCAGAATCCAATTCATTACCACAGGATACGCGCTGTTTGATTTGAAAAAAAATTATATATATATCTGCCTATTTGCAGAATCAAATTTATCCCTTGAACAAAAAAATCAAAGTAAAAGATATGGAAAAAATGAAACACTGTTCAATTTTTGTCTTACTCTGCACTTTCCCTGAATGCAGACGTCCAGGATTGTGGGATCACTGAAGCATCTCGTCCCATTTTCGACGTCTCGTCGTTGAGGAAAAGCATTAAGTTTCTTTTGACATACCAACGAACAGTGATCTGATAAAGGACATGCAGTGTTTTTTTTAGTGTCACTTAAAGTTTTTTGCAGGACGTCAATCTCAGATTGCTACTATTAAGTAATAGTTATGGTGGCCTGTCCTGTCAGTCATAAGAATGGGAAATTTTGATCTATAACTCGAGAATTAATCAAGACATAATACAAAAAGTTATCACCAATCATGTAATATTCCGATGATATGAATTTTTTTTAGAGCCGTTTCGTTCCTTAAAATGATAACGATGACTGTCAACGGCTAAACAACGATAACGACAATAATTATTATACACCTGCAGTATAAAAAGCGTGGTATTCGGGGTCGATAGCCTCACACTGGAGTTGTCGAAATGTTTTGGAGCCAGCTGGACACGGCTGTTAATGAAATACAAAAAAATAAGGAAGATTACGATTAGCTCATAATCATGATGCACCAGAACGCAAAAAAAAACAACACAACAATAACAACAGCAACAACAACAATAACAACAACAACAACAAAAATAATCTGACCTGTGGGTTACAAACTTTCCAATGTCCCACCGTTGGCCCAATGCAATTCCTTCCTCCGTTCTTTGGTCTACAAATAGGAGTTTTAAATCTATGTTTAATCAATTATTTCTTTCATAAACTTGGACTATTTAAAAGCTAGCATAGTCCTTTCACCTAGTAATTAATGGTGTAAAATCAGATGGAGTGTATGGACCGAAAAATACTTTTGAAGGTCTTACGGTGGGTTGGTGCAAGTTCTTGATCTGTGTTGAACCCCTCCTCCACAGGGACGGGTGCAATTGGAGAAGCCCGACCAGTTACTCCAGCGGCCACGGATAACACGTGACCCGTCATCTACACACTGACCATTTATACACCACTTAAACGAGAGAACGAGAGAGAGAGGTTAGAAAATAGCTTCAGTTATAGCAGTGATAGTAATGTTTACAACGAATAGCTCCCTATGTAACAAGCCCAACAGACGTTTCAATGGAGACTGCCCTGCCTCCATCACCATACTGACTTGGAAATCCATTCTTACGTCGCTCACTCACTTTTCATGCTTGTCTCCGACTAAGTAGTTAGTCTGTAAAGGAGGAATTGTTACTTTCTCCAACGAAGGGCTAACGTTTAAAAAGTTCCTTTTTTTAGTAACTCTTTTCAGTGGCCAATTTACATTATCAATTCAGTTGATAAAATCAAATTGTTTTACAGTGATCCCCATCGACGCAGCACAACAATTTCTTTAGGAACTTACTCCTTCAGAGATATTGTTAAAAGCTGCTTCGCTATATTTAAGAAAGAAAGGAAAATTATTTTATTTCCGACCTAAAAGCTAATCTACTGGCTAAATCGAGTAAGAAGAACGGTGGATATCCATTTATTGAAGAACCTAAGACAAATAAAAAATGTCGGTAATTGGTGATTCATCCTGCTTTTATATTCAGACTTACCTAATACAAATGATAAATTAGTTATTGTAATTACGAATAGGTATTCTAATAAATAAATACTGGTAGGTTAAATTACATGTCTAACTCCGCATCTTGTTCCATCTGCAGGAGAAGTTGAAGATAAAAGGCATCTATAGCCATCTCTGGTGCATCCAAGTTCACCACAGTTTGTCTGCGAAGATGAGCAATGTTACTGAATCATGAAGTATTTATTACCACCGCGATCGACGACTCACCCGGAATGGTAATAGTGATGACTGGTTCATCTGCTGGTATTCTGTATTGCTTCTTTCGAGTGCAAATTTACGTTACCCACTCTCCCAATGCAGCGAAATCGTCATACAGATGATTTTACGATCACTTGCGGGATTTCCCGCCTAGCTTCGCCAGAAGTCCCCCAGCGTTTCCAGTAAAAGAGGACTGTTGTATGATACTTAATGTGAAAAATCGAGCCGGTACAATAGATCATTTCTAAATACGAAATAGGTGCAAGTATATCTTTAAACTAGTCTTAAAAATACGTTTGGGAATGATTTGGAGCCTATTATCGTCAACAGAAGTAAGCCGAATCTTGGTAAAAAATAAAGTAATCTACTGAGTAACCACTCCTCTACTCTAAGACAAGACCACAGGGCAAAAGAACACCTAATCAGCTGTTGGTACCAGTTCCTACTCTTTTTTTTCAGAGAGAAGATGATGGTGTTTTGCTAGTGTCTTAAGAACCCAAGCCACTTTATGTACGAACACACTTTGTTTGGCGTTTAAGAAAGATACCGTTCACAGAAGGAATCAAATCCAACGAGTTTAACACCACTACAAACTGAAAAGATTCTGCTATGTGTAACAGCGGTCACTTACCTTGCGTTGTGGGCATGCGTAGTAAGCCTTGCTATGAATCATTCTGCACTGTCCATCTCGGTCTACAACTTGACCAGGCAGTTTACCGTAAAATTCTTTCGGAGTTTTGGTGATGTTGGAAACTGGTGGAATGTCATCTAAACAGTCTGATCTTTGGCTGCACCAAAAAAATAACAGATTGGTAGAAGGGCTGACCCTCCCGTGAAATATAATTGACTAATGACTGATTAATTTATTAGTTAATTTATCTTACTGCAATTCCTGCAATATTGATATTCAAACACATATTGCTAAGGCGTTAAATGTAATGATTGATAATACAAAAAATCTGTAGCATAGAAAAAAATTTTTTTTTGCGAGTGAATATTGGTTGTGGCGATAATAATTTTGTATCAACGTATGTTGGAAGCTTAGCCCTCGACATAGAAAGGAATTATTTTTCCTCCACATCACATCTTAGATCAGAACCGGTTATTAAGCGTCGCACAAAGCATTTTATCCAATATTCAAACCCCGTAGAGTACGGAACCCGGTCAGGACCTGATTATGGTCAACTTAGTGCTTTGTCACAAAGATGGGAATGAAGGAGAAGGTGTAACAAGCCGTGAAATATATAAAGGTCATCAGACGTTTTGGTATGTAGAAGTGCTGAGTACCTTTACGAGTCGTGCGGTACTTTGACAAGCCCGCAGATCGAGTTAAAAGGCAATCAATGGGTAAAAATACTAAGCACAAAAAAACTTTCAATAACTTATTTATCATAGAATTGCTGTATTTTATATGCATTTCTAAACTGGTCTTGCATAATCATCAAAATCCTTTATCAAAATCCTTTGGTGTGAAAAATACCTTAAAAAGTCTTGGAAACGTTCACGACTACACGCAGACCATTTCATGGACCCAGGTCCACTCGGTAAAGTGGATGCCATGATATTTTTATTGTTCTCACAGGAAGCTGCTGCACCAGATCCGTCATGCCCCACGCTCATCCTTAAAAAAAAAAACGAAATATGAGTAAGTTAAAATATTGATTTTGCATGATAGCAACTGCCTTGTATGAGGGGGCTACACCCTCCCGATCCTCTCGCTAGGGAGTTCAGGATGTCAATATGTTGACGCCTTGCATGGGAAAGCAGCGATTAAAGAAATGAACTTTCATTTCTGTCAAAAATCCTCGTAAGGAGCTCAATGTGCCAACCTTCCAAGGGGGCATCAGATCACTTTCTCAGAATAACATGGAAATGTAGCATTGAGTTTGAACTAAAAATATGGGTCACTTTCTCTCGGGATTCCATTCACAGCTCTGCGTAAGACGGCTGGGAATTGTACTCAGTTTCAAAACGCAGGCGTAGAGCTATTCTGTTTAGCAAAAATTCCGTTTCTCCACGTTCTTGTTGCCGTAGACGTCTTGATTTGCTCAAAGTCCACACGGAGACAATCATGTTTTCAGTGTCATTCATTATATTTCATAGTAAACACGTCTGTTTTAACTAACGTGTGAGCAATCTCATGAGCCACAACAATGGCACTTCCGAGTCCAATGTCGTTGGAGAGAGCAGCCCCAAAGTAGCTACGGCATGTTGATCCGACGCTAGCAATCCCTGCAAGTCATGAACACACCGTTTATTTAAACCTATTGGGAGATAATTATATTTCTAACTATTTTTCATGATATTTTATTTCATCATTAGGATGAAGACCTTCGAATAAGGATCACAATGATGACGACGACGAAAATGATTCCTTTATTTGTACTACTGCTTACGTGGTGTTATAAATACAAAGATCACTCTCATCTTCCTGTATTGATAATAGTAATGATGATTCAACGCGCATGTCGATAACCATGGCGATAAAGACAACGATCGTGTATGTCACTCAGTATTCAAATTTGAGCGATCAAAAAGAGGAAAAATTTACTTACCCCCAGAACTCCTGTCAATAGAAAGGGAAATAAAATTTTCGTTAAAATTACATAACTGAAAACGTTCAGGTGCATAACCTGATAATGGGTTATCATCTTTCTCGCTTCGCAATTTTATTGTCGGTCTCATGAATTACTTGAGCCGCAGGTAAGAGCTGTTATCGTAGTCTAGAGGCTTGCCAGGTACCGATAAAAACAAAAACTTATTTAAATTATAAGTGAGTTGAAGGAAGGCCCTTCCACCTTCCCCCTCTCTCCCCCTTACGACTTATCAAACCTCAGACCTTCCGGGTTAATGATAAGAGTAAATCTACAGAAATCTGCGTTGTTCATACCAAAAGATGACAAATTACCTTCTCGTGATCAGAACGACAACATCAGCGTGAGCAGGATCATCGTCTGACTCGGGGAAGTTTTTTCTTGCCCAGCGCTCCATAGCGGAGATTCGCTTACCTCTAGATGCACTTGAATTATAGCCAAACTAGGAAGAGTAACATAAAAAAATTATGTTTGTCTGGCTGAGAAATTTACAGGTTTATAAAATGGATTAAGATATCATCGGAAAATGAAATAAATAAAAGGCATTTTAATATAGTTTGTACACCATATTGCTATCCTCTGAGACAGAACAGGGTCAATATACATATCAATGGCCTCAAGAGTGTTATGGAAGATCGGAACGTTTAATTTGGAGAAGCGCAGAGGATATGACTCGCAGTATTCCCCCGAGGGGATGAAACTCGGAAAAAATAAATGAAAAGTTACATGTGAGGGGTCTCTGCGCCTAAACGCTCTAATAAGTATGCGAACCAGCATAAATTTGAGATAAGAGTTGTAGCCTCAACATTTTATCACATTACACCGGAGCGGTTTGTCGTAGAAACTTGCTGCAGCCACTTATCGCTTACCCCATCGTTCTTGAGTACCAAACGGACAATCACAGGAGTGATCTTTATTGGGCCAATACTGCTGTCGTGGAAAAGTCTTGAAAGCTTAGAAAAGAAGTTTATTCATTAGTTAATTGGCTCTTAGCTAACTTAGACGCTTGCTTGTGAAAAAAGGAAAATGATTTATCTTTCATGTACTGAATATCGCGAGATTTTTCTTAGCTTGTCTTTTACGTGTTTTGGCATGTTTTTTATAACTTATACTGTCGAATCATTCGTGGAATTTTGTATTTATCACTCTACACTTCGCCATTTTTTTAAAAATTTGGCTCTTTTCTTTCTTTGCTTGTATTTTAAAATGTTATGTTTTAGTCAGTGAAAGTACTTACAATATGAGCGATAGATAAAAGATGATAAGTCGTTTCCTCTTCGCCATAGGCTGAGATCACAAAGTTGTCAGCTATCAGAGCCATCTCTAGGAACTTATGTGGAGTTTGACGTTTTTTCCTCCGGAGAAGGCCCGGTTTAGTCCTTTCAAAAGGCATCCAATCACTCTCTGAAGTGTACAAAAAAAAGACAGCCTTATCGACTCTTTTCCTCCACTGAGGTGGAAGAAAAAGTGACGAAAGGGTTATCAAAAGGGGATCTACTTAAAAGTAAGACCGGACAGATGTTATGTTGTGGGACATAGAAATGATGTTTGTAATCATTTGAACCTTTTAAAAATAACTTTCAACCATCACCTTCGTTATTGTACCTCATTATATTAAGGTTTTTGGTTCCTTCGAAAACAATTTCAAAATCCTTATAACTGCCACTATATCGTTTCTTGGCTTCTTTAAACTATAAAACCACATTTTAATATCATAACGCTTGGTTCATGTTTTGAAAATTTCAGACTGCATTGAAGGAGTTCAAAGAAAGAAATTTATATCGTTATGGCGCAAATGCACAATAACAACGGCAAATAACAAGTTGAATTTCTTACTTGAAATATGGAAATCAGGAGTTAAATCTTGATTGATTGACCTTCTGTAGATAATGTGCGGAAGTCCGTGTTGAAGCTGATTCTTTTCAACAAGATTCTGTGAGAGAGGCCTAATGTAAAGTGTGTCCTGGAGAGTTTGAATGATCCCAGACTGAAAAAGTTCAAAAGAGCCTGGTAGTACCCCAGAGATAAGGTATTTGGTAAAGAAATTATGAGCTCGATCATGCATAGAAATCGAGACAAAATAACTCAATTGTTTTAGTATAAATGTACTAGTTTTGCAAACCTTAACATCAACACTGGCGCAAGATCCAGATTCAAGACTCACCAATCCTTTATTTCCGCTAATGGCGACCAGTGACTCTGGTTCCGACGTCACATGACCTGTATAATGAACGCCACGTGGCACCTCCTTATAAGTGGACTTTCCACTGTGATCTACTGTCTCAACTACTGCTCCTGCTGTTATTTTAGGCATTACTTTTGTGACGTTAAGATGAAGTGACCTTCCAAACGCTTCAATTTTGAAGTACCAGAAGTTTGGCACGCTAGTGGCTCTCCGTGTTCTTTCTTCGTCATGATGAACGTAATCAACGAAACTCCCCGAATCATCCGATTTATAGGGAGCTATCACCTCATATTCTGGGACTACGGTGCAAAAAAATGATGTAGACATTAGAATGGCTCATTACCCAATCATTAATATCCACGCTATTTAATTGGCTATTTTAGGTCATGTGGTGCAAGCACGAACTGTACTTGCGCGCTATGAAAATAAATGGGAGGCTCATGGAAAAGATAAACGCTTTTCCGGGATGTTGGCCGGTAATTTCCTCGGCTGAGATTTCAAATTTGCCATCGAATCTTAGCTTCTTGGCCAAATATTTATTTCTCAGACAATCTCTCAGCCACAGACATTATCAACCCACAAACCAGTCGACTGAAATGGTTTATTGACTAATTAGCTTATTTATAGAGGTTTTTCTAGCTTGATCTACGTCAATAAGTTGTGAAAATCGTTGTGAAGCTCCAAAGAAAGAAATGTGCATCAAACCTTTTTCTCTTGAGTCAACTCCAAATGTTTTCTGTAGTTCACTATCTGCCATGTGCAGGTGAATATCGTGGAACTAGTCAGTCAAATAGAACACCAACTGGTTAAAAGGGAATGGGTAACCGTATGATTCTATTCATGATGGTCTTACAATAGCTAAAAAGACAGTAGGAAAACTGTGATTATAATCTATTTCCCGATTACCAAACTGACTTAGCTGAGATAATGTAGTATGATCGCCCGCCCAGTTGAGTGTAGTCCTGAGAAGGACTGTTGTCGGTAGTGGTGACTGACGTTTCGACAACGTGAGTCATTATCAGAGTCAAGTGAATAGCTGTTGTCAGTCGAATGTTCTAAATCCGGTTCGTATAAGCTGATTGGTCAGTTTTTCCGAGACTGCAATTTACCTTCCTAATCAAGAAAGTGTAAAGCAAACCTGATTGGAGATGCTCTCGATATATGTAACATAAAATCATAAAATTTATGAATAAACAAAAGAGTTTCATCTTCGATCCTCGTGTGGACAGACGAGAACGATACGTTCCCCTCGTATTGACGTACATTTTCTTGGAAGCTTTCATCAATTGATTAATTGATTCTAACTTCTTGGATACAACTGAATTTTGCAGACAATAACCTTACCGTGTGTTTTTTGAATAAATTACTGCAGATGACGTCTACCAGAAAGGAAAGAAAAGAAAATGTTTGGCTAGATACAGAATATTCCTGTAATGGGAGTACTTGCTTAACTTGTGTTGGAAAATTTTAAATAGCACATTTGGATTTACCAATTAAGCATGATTGGATGACGTAACAACGTTCTTTGAATGTCACTCTTACCTTTCATATTATTTACTTTTCTCAACCCGGGAGGGCTGAAAAGTCTGGCCTCCATAACAGTTATTTACTTTAACCATAATTAAGCTTTATGAATGTTGAAATATTGCAAAAAGATCAAATGAATTGCTAAGCAAAAGAATATGGATCGTATTTTTTTCTATAATAATTTAATCAGCCAATTAGTCCCTTTACCGGTTTCACTTTCCAGATTCCGTTTATCAAAGCACTGAAAATTAAACAATTAGTTGGCAGTAACTTATCCAAGGAATAAAAATTATCCCTTTGTTAGTAGGGTGAGGAGGGACAAAAGAAAATGTATTATTAATTAGTCGCCCCCCATATCTCTAAAACATGCATTTAGACACCTTTTAAATAAATGGAACATGTTAAATGTTCTTTATTTTCTAATTGCAAGTGGTTGAAACGCGGTTTAATTTCAACCCTAGATCATCATTTCCTTTTAAACTTTTCTTTTAAATGTTAAGCTTGTTGAATAAAATTAAGAATTTTTAAAGAGCCAGTAAAGTGAAATTATTATATGTTCTTGGAGAGTAAATCATCTTTAATAAACTAAGGCTATCGGGGAAATATTGGAAGTTAAATAAAAATTGTAAACAAGCGGCGAAATATCTGGCACAGGTATAAATCATATGGCATCCACCTTCAAAAGAGATGTGTTAGGTGAAAGCAGTAACTAGTTAATAATTACATCAACTTACCTCCGTTGATGAAAATATTCATTAGATAAATTGCAAAGAAAATCTTCCATTTCAGATTCATATTCTGGAAAAAAAATTGACGGCAATGGTACTTGTCATTTAGAAAATGAATACTAAATTTGTTACATTTTTCGTTCAAGATATTGCGCTAAAATACACTTACGGTAAAAATCGAACCAATGTATAACTTAAGCGATATTGGGTATGTAATCTTTTTAAGTAGAATTTTGTTTTGCTATTAGGTAGTGCAAAATATTCGTTACAGAGTTTTCAGTATCATTGAGAGTTTTTTTTCCTGCAATTGTCTACAGTTTCACATATTTATATGTGGACAGCTGGTTAAATTTGTTTGTCAAAATAACATTGCTTTAGTAAATGGACTTTTTGTTTCAAATTTTTTTCTTTTCTTGTTACCAAAATTTTCATTGTTATCTTTTGTGACATGTTTTATTTAAATGTGACTGAATGTTGATGGAAACGGTTCTCTTTGCAAGTTTTATTATTGAAATTAAATATTAGATCTAAGCATATTTTTAACCGTGTCCTGCTAGTATAATATTTTGTATTTTGTGGTTAACAGATCATTACACTCCTTGTGAAGGTAACGATTTAGTTTTTGTTGTTTTAAGTCCCTCCTATTGGGGCTTGTGTACGATTTGTTACCAAGAAGTTTTACACTGAAATTTGGGGGTATATCGTGTTTCTCAGTGTGAAAAAGACAGACCGCATGGTCCTAAGGACCCCCCTCGCATCCCCCGAGCTGTGACCTTGTATTTATATAAAGAGAGGGGCAGAAGGAGTCTTATGATTATACATGTGTGATAGTCCAAAGAAGGTTTGCGTAAATTTGAAAGCTAACTTTTCTTAATGTATGAGAATTTATAACATATAATGTTTGGCTAGTGCTATTTTTAGGTTTTTTTTTCTTCCAAAACTTGTAATTCTTAAAATTAAGAAAAACTTTTCTCTATTTTCACCGTCCAAAATGCTCTCCAATTTAAATTCAAGAGAAAGTATAAAAGTGTTTGCATCTCACTTTGTATTAATCATTTGAAACTTTAAAAAGGTGTTCTCGTTGTGTTAGCGCCTGCCTTGAATTGAATTGGAAGTGTAACTAAAGATTGTGTCTTGTAATTCATAGATCAATTCATTGGTACTTACCTGTGATATCAAATGTATCAGATCTGCCTTTAAGAGGACGCCAAGCTGTAAATTAAGTGTTTGATATCTTTAGGTAAGGCGTTTGAAATAATGCCTTATAAATGATATCAAGATGTACCAATTGACAAAGTCGTAAAATAGACTTTAAAAAAACTTTTTCACATTAAGTGGTATCACGAGGAAAAAACATGTTTGTTTAGTAGGGAAAGGCCGGAAAACTTAAATTCAGATAGCGACACATTTTGACGCATCAGAAATTCTCTTTGACAGAACCATGTGGGAGAAGAAAAAATGAAAGGAAATGGCGTTGGTCAACGACGGAAAAACGTGGATAAACAATTCAGTTGCGCATCTAAGGCTCCGCTCCTTGAATTTAGAAAAGTTAGATAATGAAGAACAATTTTAGATAAAATGTATTCATATATAAAGCAAAATCTTCAAATATCTGGGGCTACAAAATTTTTAAGGATACTACCCTTAGGTACAAATTGTCCCACAGAAAAACTCTCGCCTGGACTCGACAAATTGCCGACCAAGGTTTGAACCATCCCATGTAAGGGTTTCGGACGAAAACGAACAATAGCTGCACGTTCCTAAAACTCCTTTTTAGAAAAGAACCCTGTCAAAGACGCTGTCTAGGTCCTAACACCCTAACACCCTGTTAGTTGGCAGCTCATATCGTTTCAGGCTGATTAAGGTAATGCTTCTCATGGAAGGGGGGAGAGGAGGGGTTCCCATCTTTAGTACTCAGTCCTTGAATACTAACCTGTGTTGTTGGGCAGCTCCCGAGATCCTTTTAAGAGAAAAGGCTCAGTTGGCACTTGGCCGATGTGATTCGTAGTCGCTAAAAGATAGATAGATAGGTAAATAGATTGATAGATAGATGGGTAGACAAATAATCGGGTTTGCTGAACGAAATATTTGAATAACTAAGAAATGATAGCGAAACGTTAAACGTATGTAGACGACATATACGATACTACAACGATCATTTAATTTTTTTATTTTGAATCCCGAAGGGCAACGTTTCAAAAGTCTCGTAAGGACGGAATAGTCCAGGCCCTCTCAATTTGTGATAATAAACTCATGTCACTTTTTATTTTCACATTTCAGCATTTCTCGTTAGTACTGTACTACGCCTCTCAAAACTTCCTTCTACGAGTACATTGACATGCTGCTGTATTCAGAAATCGCTTTCCAGATTGTTAGAATGGACGAAATGAAGATGTACTATCAATGGAACCTTAAGATTGACCTTTAGCTGTCGTTAGATCGTTTATCATAAACAAAAGACTGACTTAAAAAGACATTTTTAAGAAGACTGAAAGGATTGACAGACTGAAAAATGCCATCTGGCATGACGTTTTACTTTAGCGCCTGTCATGAACGAATTGTCTTCATCAGTTCAAGTATACTTATCGGTCGATACGGAATCAGCTCCGGTGGAAAAAAAATCCTTCTTTAACCACGGTATGACGTCATGCACGCTATTATTTTTAACCTATATCATTAAAAGTTAGACTTTTTTAGAGCAGGAACAGTGGAAAATAGTTTTAGAAATCAGAGGATCTAGAAATCCAGGGTGAAAAAAACAGGATCATATGTGCGTCGACGAGACTAAACACGTTAAAAGGGTTTCAAGCAATCGCGACACCATTCTGATTAATAACACGATTCCAAAATATCAGATAAACTTAGAGCCAAGCTTGCTGAAAGCAAGAAAAGCAAAATTCTTTTCTCGGGTCACTTAATTTTTATCCAATCCTTAAGTAGATACAAACGCAATATAGAACGATATCTCCTGTAAACAATCGGCACAAGTGCCTTAAAAGTAAGTAACAAAAAAATAATTTGAGACCGTTATGCTGTTCGGGAAAAGTAATTTTATTCTGTATTTTTCTTTTATATTTTCGACGGCAACAAATACAAGCCACTCTCGTTAAGGGAGGGGCAAATTAATTTGTTCATCTTTTATCCAAAACGATTTCAATCTTCATGGCTGTGTCTTTTACATTTGGTTCTACAAAACAAAAACTGAACGAGTAATTTGAATTCGCGTACAAATTTAACAATGTCATTTCATGAATAGTGGACTAGTGGGTTTCCTAGGATGCAGGTAGGTGTGAGATAATTCCGCCATTGTTTACTCATTTTGTAACAATGTCCCACGCTTTTGACACTTAAATCGAACCTTTTCTCTTATTTGTTCTTTGATTTGTGACGTATTGAAAAATGTTCCAGATGTTTCGGGGGAGTTTTGTTGAAAAGAAACATTGGGTGGTTTCTGTTTCTGTTTTGATGAAACTTCATGCTACTGTGTCTCTTTCAAGGACACCATACACTGTTTGATGTTTCATTCAGTGCTGAGGATCAGCAAAAATCGCAAAAGGCGTCTAGCTGAATACAGAAAAAGATCAAGCATATGTCCTTTTCACGCCAGAAAAGATATGTTTAACCAATTGAACTATAAAAAGAAAATTTTCAGGGATTCAATGAATCATCAACTTGTGCTTTCATTGTGCTAGATTTGAGGTTGACAACCATCGGTTTCAGGAGCTCCAATTCTATACAGAAATTCATTTTTAACCTTGTTTAACAAACCAGCTTTAAAAGGTGTTTTATCTCTGGTGTAGATTAGGTTTAAGATTGGAGTGCAGTTTTCAAATTTGAAACTTTCATTTATTCTGATCATAACAATTTTAATATGAGATAACTGGGAAACAGGGAAACAGTTATCGCTAGGGCCACCATAACTTTGCACTTTTCTTTTTACCCAATAAGTAGCTAGTCTTGTTAAACGATAAAACTAACTCGAATATTTCGATGTAAGTCGTTACAACAAATCTATGTCTTTATGCACTAGAAATGAAATATTTTTTTTTAATGTGTAAGTGACTGTTTTAGATCATCAAGTTATCACTATCTTCTTATCCTAAAAACACCTCCCCTTCCCAATACCCGGAAATGATTAAGATTACAGGGTATCACTTCAACTAGATATAGAAGCACATTGAAGAATAAATTTATGGAGTACTTAAAAGGCCATCTCGAATGTTTAGAAAAGACAATTGTGCTTTGCTTTCTTAAATGCTGCAGTTTTTCGCTCCAAAAATGTTTGGAAGAGCTATGGGATCTATTTTATAACGATAACGTGCAGTTTTGAGGCCGTGAAGTTCATTTTTTCACTCCTTTTGATTTTTGTTTCCATGTGTCTATAAATCAGTAATTTCCATATTTTCTTTCAGATTTCATCGCTTTATTCAGCTCACACAGAAATATTCTTATAACGATATGAAAATGATTTATGTGAGGAGTTGACGAATAAGAACTGAATATGTCATCGTTTCGTTTCTTTTTTCAAGTCTTTACAAAAAGATGATAAAACCAATCTCTAAATAGAAATATCTAATTCAGAGTTATTGATTGCTATTTTAGCTAAGTTGGAGTATTTTCCTGAGGGTTTAGACTGTGCATACATAGAAAGACCCGCATGCATTTGATAGATAAAAATTCGTCTTCATAAAATTAATATCCTGTTATATATTATTTCTTTTTGTTGTATCACTCCTAAAACTGTCGATTTTTTCAGTTTAAATCTGTTTGAATTCCAAATTTCACCTGTATTCTCAGCTTGTCTACCCTAAAAATTCGCTTTATCTCCTCTAAAAAAGATTATCATTACTTTAGACTATGAGAAGTCCTGATTTTATCAGTGAAGATAGGCCAGACTCGCTTAAAAACATTACCTAATACATTTTATTATTAAAATTCTCATTTAAGCGAACAATAATCTCTTATCTCAGTGATTACTAAGCATATATAATGACGTCAGTTGCGTGATTCTTTTTAATATTTTGAACTCTTATTTACACAATATAGTGTTGGTACTCTAATACAGGAAATTGCTCGTCAAAGTCTTTTTCAAAAAAGGGATTACTGTCTCTCTATAAGAAACAGCAGCGAAGTTTAGAGTGGGATGTTATTTACTCAAAGGACAACACTTATCTACTGTTTATTTACTTTTGGTGGGGTGATAAGGTAAGGTCATTAAATATTAAGTCTTTTAACTACTAAAATCTTTGTTTAACATTCGTCATGATTTGTTTAGATCGTGGGACAAAAAGTAAATTTGAGTTTCCCGCAAGGTTTAAGATCACAGTATTTTCTGGCATCTTGGTTGCATATTTAACCGCTTGAGCTACAGAGAACTTGTTCGCGAGCCTTGGAATATTCTTGGTGCATGTTGAAGTGGAGAACAGAGCAGAAACTAAAATTGTCAGCTTCAACCTGTTGAGTGCATTAGCATCATACCGTGATAATCCTAATGAGACGACTCTTAAATCTTAAAAGTAACTGTTGTCAAAGCTCAACATTATTGCAAAAGAAGACACTTCTTTCAAACCAGCTTCTTAGTTTTCAAAATGAGTTTGTTTTAGAAATCCAATAAAACAGACATTTTCAAAATCTCAGCATATCATGAGAACCAATCAAAATAGTACACCTGGGTACTAATAAATGGACAATTTAAAATCTTTATTGAAAAGGACACCTTAAACCGTTATAATTCATTCCTAAGAAAATCTTTGATAAAGTTTCTTCTGGTTAAATTCCATCTGTGAAGAATTAGCTGCAATTTTCTCCAAAAAGCCAGTAAACGGTATGTTGTGGTCTTATATTCAGGTATTTTCGAAGGTAACGATAACAATGTAACCATGTGACAATGCATTGTTTCTATTATTCCTTTTTTTTTTTCATCTTTAAATTTCAACAACGGCTGTAAGTTTTCATTTTCACCCCATTCATTAAGCTCTGCGAGTAATTTGTTCCTATTAAGTTCGTTCGACTCTTTTCCTCTTCCTAAGAGAATTAGCTGTTGCTGAACGTGCCCACGGCTTGAATACTTAGGAATGATAGGTGACAACCATTAGCAAGGATTGTTAGCAAATTTTTTAAATGAACTGTACTCTAACTTTTGAACAGCAATATCGTGCATCAGGCTATTGATAATATTTTCCCAAAATTGTTCATCCTAACAACTCTTTAGAGCCACCTTATGCAAAGAAGCAACCGAATCGTCTGAAATAGACTGCCTGAAAATAACCTAACTACAAGGAAAATTACCTTTGGAAGATAAACGTTTCAGTATTACATTGATTAACAATAGCATCCAGTGCCCTCTAAGATAACAATGTATTATTTCTTTTATAATTCATTGACTTTTGATTCTTGTTTCGTCTTTACAGGATGGAGACCACATTTACTTGGAAATTGATATTCTGTCTTTGCTTGGTCCGTGAAGGTGAATATTTCTATGTCTACACTCTAAGAGATAATCAGACAGCACGTTGAGTAATTTCCTTGTACCTCCATTTAGCCAGCAGAGCCAGATTTCATTTTAAACTAATCTATCGCACGGTGGCAATAATGACCCAACTTTTTTCTCACTTAAATTTTAATCGTGTAATATTTCGATGGTTATTCTGCATTGCGTCCTTATGTTCGCATGACA